TTCTTGTAGTAATCAGTCAGTCTGCTTATATTGTTTTGTATTTTTTCCTGTTGATCTTTTTTTCAAGAAGTATCTTCTGTTCTTCTAGCCGCTCCAGGCTGGTCTGCCCATCCTTTCAAGTGGAAATTTCCCACCTCTGAAGATTCTGGATGCTGTTCAGGATTCCACCAATAGTCTTATGTTTGTTTTACATATTTTTTATCTCTTAGTATATTTACAATAGCTGTATTCTTGAGGGAATCCTGGTGTCACGCTGTAGGAAAAGCACTCGACCCCAAGATCAGTATGAACCACAAGGTCAGCGGTTCAAATTCACCAGCTACTCCTTGGAAACACTATACAGGGTCACTGTAAGTTAGAATTGACTCAACAGTACTTAACAACAACAAATGTTCTCGAGAGTCTGAACTTTATTTTTCTTTATAGAATATTACATTTCCGTTATTGAAGGCAGATATGCTTGTTCTAGTTGTAACTTTTTTCCGTTTGTTAGAGTAACCCTACTCCTGAAATGTGGCCTTTTCTAAGATCTCAAGCAAATGCCCAATTCTGGATGATCAGAATTACATGTCTCTTAGCACTGTACCACTTGGCAGAACCTCCTTTTGGTAATGGCCCCTAGTCAGAGAGGCGGGGTGAATGCAGAGCTCTGTTGATGAGTTTCTCTCTTCTCAAGGACCACAGTCTTGCACTGTCTGTTGTTTGGTGCCTGCAAATAGTTGTTTTGTGCAGTTTTGTAGTTTTTATAGTGGGAGGGTAAGACTAGTGGTACTCATTATTATATCCAAACCAGAAATCCTTCATATTACATATTTTTAAATACCTGTATTGAGGGTGTGGTTGGAAAATAGGCAAAAAGGATGGGAGAACTGTTGAGCATAAATGCATCTTGATTTGTTTCTTGTCTTATAAAGATACTACGAGGCCAAAGCGAGACTACGAAGTGGATGGCAGAGATTATCACTTTGTTATTTCCAGAGAACAAATGGAGAAAGATATCCAAGAGCACAAGTTTATAGAAGCCGGCCAGTACAATGACAACTTATATGGAACCAGTGTACAGTCTGTGAGATTTGTAGCAGAAAGGGTATGTTCACCAACCTTCTTACGTCTCCCTTAAAAAAGATTCTGAGCTGGCAAACTGCATTTAAGTTCACCATTCTTTACTAATTTCAGTTGTACATTTTTATTATATATTCTTTGAAGACATGGAAGTGCAGAGTCACCTTAGGGCAAGATCCTTAATCATTGTTCTAGTACCAATAATTTATGTTGGTAGATTTGGGAGAAGACAGAATGTCTATATATATCTAAAGACAATTAACAGCTTGAAGTTAATGAGGATTTACTTTGTCCTTCATTTACCTATCGGAGCCTCTAGTAAACAGCTTTGAATTGGTTAAGGAAGGTTGTATTTTTTCTTAATGTTTATACCATTGTCTCATTTCCTTTTGTTCGAAGGAGTTACTTTTTATCTCTCTGTAAACTTGAGATCTTCATTGTGGGAAAAAAGATAAATGAGGAAGACAGTTACTCGGCCAACTGATTGGAAGCAGTTCTTATTTGTACCCATTCCATACCACCTAAGCAGGGATCAATGTTCTGGAATAGTTTGACTAAAATAGGTGTCAGCTCTTCTCTGAATATTTGGTAGAATTCACCAGTAAAGTTATCTGGGCCTGGACTTCATCCTTACAATTGTTGTTATTTGTGAAGCCATTGTTACTGCCACTGTGTCAATCCATCTCATTGGGGGTCTTCTTTGCAATGACCCTCCTTTTCACTAAGTATGAGGTGTTTCTCCAGGAACTGGTCCCTCCTGACAATGTGTCCAAAGTACCAGAGACAAAGTCTTGCTATATTAGCTTCTAAAGAGCATTCTGGCTGTACTTTTCCCAAGACAGATATGTTTGTTCTTCTGACAATACATGGCACTTTCATTTTGCTTCACCAATAACATAATTCAAATGAATCAATTATTCTGCAGTTTTCTATATTTGTTGTCCAACTTTCACATGCATATGTTGTTGTTGTTATGTGCCGTGGAGTCGGTTCTGACTCATAGCACCCTACACAGGGTTTCCAAGGCTGTAAATCTTTCCAGGAACAGAAAGCCTCATCATTCTCCTGCAGAACAGCTGGTAGTTTCAAACTGCTGGCCTTGTGATTTGCAACCCACTTTATAACCATTACACTACCAGAGCTCCTTCATATGCACATGCATATGAGGCAATTGAAAATATCATGGCTTGGTGTGAGATACACCTGATTCCTCAAAGTGATTTCTCTGCTCTTGAACACTTTCAAGAGGTCATTTGCAGCAGATTTGTTTAGTGAAATACATCCTTTACATCTCTTTAATACTGACACTATGAGTATTGATTGTGGAGCCAAGCAAAATGACGTCTTTGATAACTTTAATCTTTTCTACATTTATTGTGATGTTATTTATTGGCTCAATTTTGAAGATGTTCATTTTCTTTACATGGAGTTATAATCCCTACTGAAGGCGCTCAAAAGTTAAAGGCTATCAAGTATATCGATATTGTTTTTATTGAGAGCGTCCATGATAATTGCATCTTCTCTACTCTTTGAACATATAGATACAGACTTAATTAACTAGAAATGTTCTAGCTAGTAAGTAACACAGTACTTAAACATTTTATATAGCTGTTGCTCTTCACAGATAGCAAACTTGGCGATAAGGGTTTGAATCATCTCGTGTTTCTCATTTAGAATTAAGGTATTCATTGGACTCTTCATTTTCATATGACTAATCTAGATAAGTTTTTATTCCCTGTGGTTGATTTCAGATTGCTCTATCTGTATAATACGCTTTTTTCTCTTCTTGTTATAAGTTTTTCTAGCCTCAGTATAATGAGGCCAATTCTCTCCAGGAGGTAGAATATGATTTGGCAAATGTATCTACTTGTCCAGAAATACTTTTAAGTAGCTCCTTGCTTTGAGCACTTATTGCAGTAGAAGCCAAGTTTAATGAAGTGTGCTGACAGAACTTAACAACAACAATAATATAATAGGGCTTTATTTGTTAACAAACAAGAAATTTACATACTCTGTGAATGTCTTTCATAGCATATATTTATCCATATATTATTTTGGGGTCTGTCCTCTCCTAGACTGAGCATATTGAACCCCCCTCCAAAAAAATATCCAAACCCAATGTCATAGGGTCAGTTTCAACTCATACAGACCCTGTAGGACACAGTAGAACTGCTCACTGGGGTTTCCAAGACTGTAGCTATTTACGGAATCAGACTACCTCATCTTTTTACCACATAGAAGCTGGTAGGTTTGAACCACCAATCTTGCAGTTAGCATCCCAATGCATAATTTGCTGCACTACCCAGGACCCTTATATATGAAGGGTTGTTGTTGTTGTTGTTGTTAAGTGCTACTGAATCAATTCTGATTCATAGTGACACCATATAGGGTTTCCAAGGAACAGCTGGTAAGCTTGAACTGTGGCCTTGCAGTTCAAACCAACCTTGCTGTCCAGTGTATTAAACCTCAGCACCATACCAGGACTCCATATTGAGGGTTGTTGTTATTGTTAAGTGCTATCAAGTTGGTTCTCACCCATAACAACCCTGTATAGGGTTCTGAGGAGTGACTGGTAAGCTTGAACTGTCATCCTTGCGGTTAAACCGACTTTGCAGTCTAGCAAATTAACCTCCAGTGCTACACCAAGACTCCATATTGAGGATTGTTACTGTTGTTGTTAAAGTGCCGCCGAGTCAGTTCCAACCCATAGCGACCCTGTACATGGTTTCCAAGGCTGTAAATCTTTACGGGAGCAGAAAGCCTTATCTTTCTCCCATGGAGCGGCTGATAGTTTCGAACTGCTGATCTTAAGGTTCGCAGCCCAATTTGTAACCACTATGCTACCAGAGCTCCTTGGGGGTAGGGAACATATAAACACTAGGCCAATATTTGACCCAACAGATCTGTGTTGGAGGAAGTATAGCCAGAGTGCTCCTTGGAGGCCAAGATGGCCAAACTTCGTCTCGCATACTTCAGACATATTGTCAGGAGGGACCAGTCACTGGAGAAGGATAGCATGTTTGGTAAGGTGTAGGGTCAGAGAAAAAGAGGAAGACCCCCAGCGAGATGGATTGGCAAATGGGCAGTACCAGTGGACTCAAGTGTGGTAACAATTGTGAGGTTGGCCCAGGATAGAGCAGTGTCTCGTTCTGTTGTGCATAGGGTCACTATGACTCGGCACTGACTCAATGGCACCTAACAATAACAACGTTTGTGATCTATGAGCATCATGAGAATGAACGTGGTTAAGTTACAGATGGCTATGGCTACGTGTCTTCTTTGTGCAATACACCATTCTCTAATGAAGCTATTGGAGTCTTGGTACGACACTATAGGATCAGCACTGGACTGAATTTGAACAAGGTTGGCAGTTCAAACCCACCAAGTTTGCTGCTCAGAAACCCTATAAAGGGTAGCTATGAGTAGGAACAGACTTGACAGCACTTAACAACCACAACAACAATGAAACTATAGCTATTAAAACTAAGTTAAGTAATACAGCATATGTGAAATGCCTAGCACTGTGGCACACACTTCATAAGGGTGTAATAAATAAATAGTTATTGCAAACATCAGTGATGCCCTTGGATATCAGCTTTTATTTATGCTTTATAATGATTCATTCTGGCATTCCGAACCTTCCCTTTAAAAAAAAAAAAAAGATCCTCTTTTGGTTATATTTTAACCCTTTCTTCTGGATTAACTTTTTCTTTTTCTCTTTCTACCAGGGCAAACACTGTATACTTGACGTATCAGGAAATGCTATCAAGCGGTTACAAGTTGCCCAGCTCTATCCCATTGCCATCTTCATTAAGCCCAGGTCACTGGAACCTCTGATGTAAGTAGAGAGCTCTGGAGGCCTTCATCTTATACTCTGTCCCAAATTGCACAGCAAATTATTAACAACTCCATGTCACAAATACTTATAAATGGAAAGAAACACCATAGTTGCTTTTCAAACATTTCCCCCCAGAAGATAAATTGTTACAGAGATATTCTGAACCAGCAGAAACATATCAATAATTCAGAATGTCTTCACAGGATTCTTTGATGTATACTTTTTTACATTTTCATAATTTTGTTTTGTTTTGGAAAGGTGGATTGGCTTAATTGGTATTTTGTTGTTGTTATTTTAGCATGTTTCATTGGCATTTTTGCTTTGTTCTATGAAAGAATTCTGATATCTCTTAATTAAATTCCACATATGCAAACTACTCTCCTTGAGAGAAAGAGCCCTGATAGTGCTGTAGGATAAGCACTGGACTGATAACTACAAAGTTGGCAGTTCAAACACATTAGCCACTCCACAAGAGAAAGATGAGGGTCTCTGTTCCTATAAAGATTTACATTAGAAACTCTATACCACACCACTAGGAGTCAAAAAGCAACTCTATAGCAGTGGGTTTGGTGGTCGTTAGGAGAATTTTCTGAGCATCACACAGTTGTTGTTAAGTGCCCTTGAGTCAGTTACCACTTATAGTGACCTGTAGAGTTTCCTAGTAGAAGCTGGTGAGTTTGAACCGCTAACCTTGTGGTTCAAACCGACCTTGTAATGCAGTGCATTATCCTGCAGGGACACACCAGGACTCCAGTAGTAAAACAGATATAATTTAAACCAATAGCTTCATACCTATGTTTATTTATGAACAACAGAAAAATACATGGCTGGTTTTTTTCTTAAGAATCTTTTGTAGTTTTCAAAGAGTTGTTAACTACCTCCCTTCGAAAGTCAGTGACCAACAATATTTATAAACAGACATTTGTGATCTGCCTGTAAAGTAACAGACATTTAATAGAAATTGTTGGCACTGTTTGGTAGACAATTCCATATAAGATTGAGATTGTAGCAGTCACAGAGACAGATGAACCAAAAGGCTAAAATCAAAAACTTAAAAATCGGTCAGATTGGATCCACTTCTTTGCTCATCCACTTATTAGTAACATGACACTGAGAAAGTTGCTTGACTTCGCCAACATTCAGTTCCTCATCTTTAAAGTCGGTACATAGATAGTAGGCATCTCTCCAAGCTAGTGTCAGGGTTAAACAACAAGCTCTTCGTACCGTCTTTGGCACACAGTAAGCTCTCAGTAGTAGTGGCACCAACAGTTAATGTGCTTGGCTGCTCATGAAAAGGTTGATGGTTCAGATCTACCCAGATTGTGACCCCCAGCAACCCTACATAGGATTTCTGAGACTGTAAAACTTTATGGGAGCAGACAGTATCATGTATTAAATTTCCTCCCATGTAAGATACGGCATTAAGCATTGTACAAACTAAGAATCACAAATGTCATTATATAAAACTGATTTGAACACTGTATCAAGCCACATAAATATCAATAGTTAATATTAGCATTAATAAGAACAGAAAAATCACCCTTAGCGCATGAAAATAGCATCTTAAACTGCATTTTAGAAACAGAAAACAAAAAATTAGTTTTCACATCATAAACATGGAGTGAAATGAATAGCATAGCTTCCCAAGGCCTTTGGAAGACCAGCAGTGACACATTGTGTTAGTATGATATTAGAAGCTGTTGCCATCTGGCTTTCAGTAAGAGAAGGTCTACTTCCTTCCGCAACTATGAAGTGACTTATTTAGTTTTGCCTTAAGACACTGCCGCAGCCACTTATCACCAGTGAAAATTAAATGTCCTGAAGACTAAATTCTGCAGTGAGGATGATGAATCTGAACTAATTTGCTACAGTCATATTCATGGGTCTCGAGCACAGTGATAGTGACATTCAGACCAGTGTGACATTAGTCAGTGCTGTTTATTTACTTTCTACTTCACTCTTTTCTGAGGATTTTCCTTCAGAAGTGATGCCGGCATGAATTTCTCATTCCCTAGAAGGAGTGAATGTTAGGTCAGCTAGAACAAAAGTATGGTGACTCTCACATTTAGACACTGATACACCATTACACACATTACTTCTCATGTGCATTATATATACCGAATCACAGACCTCATTAACATAGGCGTAGCTGATTCTTCAAAGAAACAGAAAATCTAGGATATGTAGGAAATTGTACCACCACATGACTTCAGACTTCCCCATGATGATGCGAAAGTTTCCTGGCCTTCTTCATTTTGTTGCACCAAATCTGCGTCTATTCTTTTGTTCCCTTGCTACCCTGTGCTACTTTATCATCAACTATATTATAATTATGTTTGTCTAGCTTCCCATTCATAATTCACTTACTAATTCAACAAATAGATGTCAAATCAGGCTCCATGCCACATGCTGATGAACAAGTCAAGGTCTCTGCCCTCAAACAACTTATAACATAGGTTATGAAACAAAGCAAACTCATATGAGAGGGAAAAACCCTATACTAAGCCATTAGTGCAATAAGCTCAAATGCAATTCAAATAAGATAGAGGGCAGCTTGAACTGGGGAAGCCAAAGAAAACCCAGGAGCTACATGATATCTTGAAATCTGGAGCACAACACTGTATTTCTCGGAAGAACATCCTTTGGTTTAACCAACATCTTCCACACTAGGAGTGACATCCAGTCACAGCTTGTCTACAGCTGTTTGGAAGAAAAAGTCTACACACTGTCCCTCAAGAAAAATTTAACTCTGTTTCAGTAACAAGAAATCAGGAAATTCCTTCGTTTTGTCGCAGCTTTCAGCATTGTGCCCAGGACCATGTGTTTTGTTTTTGTTTTCTCCAAACCAGAGTCTGCTTGGAAAGATACTAAGTTTTGTTATAGTGGGAAGTCTGTCTGGCTAAGAGTGAGTTAAAATATAAAACAAAATTAAAACCTTTAGTTCGAACACTAGATTTACAATGTACAGTCTCAGGCAAGAAAATATTGGGAAGATAAAATAAATTTTATTTAGCAAGTGCAATTTGTTTGGCAGGGACAATGTTAACATCTGGAGGACACGGGAGCATAAATCTGTCGTAGTTAGAAATCAGTTGATTAGTCTACTCTCAATTTTCCTCTCATTTTGATTTGTCCTTGTCTTCATTTCCTAGAACTGCCATAATAAAACACCAAAACATGGGCGACGTCAAAGAACAGAATTTTATTTACTCACAGTTCTAGAGGCTATTATCAAAAATTAGGATATCAGCCATTTTGATTTCTTTGAGGACTCTGAGAGAGGAATGGTACCAAATCTGTCTCCTAGCTTCCGTCTCTGATGGCAACTTTGGCACCCCTTTGCTACCCATAAAGGGCTCCTCACATGCCTTCTTAGCCTGTGTACCTGCGAGACTGTCTCTTTTTATAAAGCACCACCCAAAAAGGAAGAGGTGTGTTGGCTCCTCTTAGGATAAGCACTAAGCTAAAAACCGTACGGTTGGTGGTTCAAACCCACCAGCTGTTCCATTGGAGAAAGATAAGATTTTCTGCTCCCACAATGATTTACTAGCCTCAGAATCTCATACAGGGTTGCTATGAGTTGGAACTGACTTGATGGCACTTAACAACAACAACTCAGAAGGGATTAGAGCTAGGACCCACCCCCCTCCAGTAGGATTTAACTGATAGTGTCTTCAAAGCAAGATCTTATTTCTCTAAACAGGGTCATATTCATGGGCCCAGAGGTTGGGACATCAACATATCTTTTTGGGAACACAGTCCATTTCAGTTCGTAAGATGAATTTTTGTTTTTGCAGAATGTGCCCTTGGGTTGTTTAAATGATTATATAATGTATTCCTGAGTGTTTCTGTGTACATCCCCTCCCCCCTCCAAAAAAAACAAACAAACCAGGGAATGGAAGCAAATACTGTTGAATGATGATGCACAGAGGAGATTGTAATCATTGCAGTGGAATGATGGTGTAAACCAATGGTCTCCCATGTAAACTATCACTCAGTTCACAATAAAAACTTAAAAAAAAAAAGAAAGAAAGAAAGAAACCTTAGGTAATTGATTTGAGACTTCTTGTTTTGTAATACTTGTTTAAGTATTTGCAGTATTTTTTTTTATCTAAAGTTTGCTTTGCTTAGGTTTATTTAAAAAAAAAAAAAAAAGAAAAGAAAAAGGAAACAACTAAATTGTGTTTAAGTAATCTTACAGTGATTTGATGGAGTCCTTGTGTGGCACTGTAAGATAAGCACTGGACAGCTAATCTCAAGATTGATGGATCAAACCCACCAGCCACTCCTTGGAAACCCTATACAGGGTCGCTATGAGTTAGAACCAACTCAAGGGCACACAACAACAATGATCTGATAAGCACAGGGGCAATTTTCGCAGTTTGTGATCTTCCCAAACATGTTGTTGTTCAGTGCCGTTGAGTTGGTACCAACTCATAGTGACCCTATGCACAACAGAACGAAACACTGCCCGATCCTGGGCTAACCTCACAATTGTTGCCACGCTTGACTAACAGTAAAATAAATGAAGTTATACATGAGCTGGAAGCAGATAGGCCAAAGTACTTCCAACCATGAGAGTAAAAGTTTTATCAACCTACCTGAGCTTCTGTTTTTTCATATATGCAAAAGATGGAAAAGATGCCATCTTTCTTTATAAAGTTGTAGGAGGCTTAACTGACTTCAGGTATTCCCAGAATGACTCAGAATAAGAACTCAGGATTATCTGTGTGAATTCCTATCACTTGACCAGTAACTTGTATATAATTAATAGTAGATAATGGCTGACAAAATGACAGAAAGGAAGGGACAGAGTCCCGGGACTAATTCATTTACAATATCTTTTCTTATCAGAACACAAAGTAGGCATCAGTGATTCTTTCTTAAGGAGCCACTATTTGACATTAGTTGTTTGTAGTCTCTTTGAAACTATTTTGATCCCTGTGCTTTTGATTAATCTCCTTTAGAAGATCTTTGAGATAATTGATTTATTATAAAAACAGGAAGTTCAAGGTTTTTGTGGAATTGACATACCTTGCTGTTTGTAGACGTTGAGTAGGGAGAGCTGTAGAATGCCTTTTCAGGCTAGAAGACACGCACGCCTTAGAAGTTAAGCAGCATGTCCCATTTTCTGTAATTCTTTGGAACAACTTTCTATGATTCTTCACTCCCCATATTTCCTGATACACACTGAAGATGGACAGCAGTCCTCAGGAAGGACTGGAAAGTTGAAAAATCAAAGCATTTTGCAGGGCTGGGAACAGTCAAATCTAGTTCTCTCAGATGTGATCAGGGCCCTGTAGGCTGGGATACACCTTCTCCATCTCTTATCGCTCTGATCTCCCCTGAAAGAGTCTATTAAATTCTACATTCAGTAGTTAAAAGAAGTTGAGACTACAGCAAAACCCATGCCAAAAAGGTCAGGAAGGTTAAAATTTGGAAATTGAACAGGTAAAGGAAGTAGAACTGTTTTTTCTAAAGATGACTCAAGGGACACATGGTTACTTTACTTAAATATCCTGAGGTCTTTCATGGACAAAGGAAGTTTATTCCTACTCCATGTGACAACAGGGACCAATGATTAGAAACCGTAAAGATAGATTATTCCTGAATCCAATATGGAACCAAGAGACAGCCAAATGAGAGTGAACTCCCTCATAAGGAGTCAATGCTGCTGAAATTATCCCCAGCAAAGAAGAGTGCTGAATGAAGGCCAGGAACTTGCTGCTAAACTTTCCATATATATCCTGTGAAAGTCATTTTTGCTGTGTATTTCAGCTTTTGGGGATTTGATATATTATTCTTTTTGTGTTCCAACTAATACCAGACCCTCATTTTCCCAGGGAGATGAATAAGCGTCTAACAGAAGAGCAAGCCAAGAAAACCTATGATCGAGCAATTAAGTTAGAGCAAGAATTTGGTGAATATTTTACAGGTAAGTTCACTTACCCTTGTATTGTCAAAAAGGAAGGTGAATTGTCTCACACTTAGAAAGGAAATGATTCTGAGCTTGGTAGACCTTGGGTCCTCAAACCTCCTTGTAAGATTCCCTGCTATCTATTTCATAGGCAGGGAGTCTCCCTCTATTTCATCCATGTGATTCAGAATTCTGGGGTTAGATGCAGCCAGGTTTCCCACTGATTCTATCAAACTACTTCCTGTGTCATAAAATCAGAAGAACTGAATGGTACTTTGTTACCATTACTGAGCAGTTTGATCAAAGATTCTGTAGACTAATCCTGATCAAAGTGGGGAAAATGGAGAACAGAAAAAAAATCTCATGGAATCCAAAATTTCTGGAGTCAAGGGTGCAAATGAACCACTAAAATTGTTGCCTTGAGATAATCTTTAAACCTTAAATCAAAAATATTCTTGAAGTCTTCAAAAGACTAAATAGTAATTTAGCTTAACTAGTCATCACTGTCTGCCTTGAGCATTCTGTTCATTTGAGAATTATCTACATGGGATCAAAGTGACAAGAGCAACTCAAAAGATTAGATAGGAGCCATTGGGGGGCAGTGAGTTTATGTTAAAAGGGGAAGTAACAATGCAGAACAAGAAGGTGCTCCCCAACTTGAAGACTATAATCAATATTCACTGTATATGTTGAAATCATTAGATCAGTGTATGTCTTGTTGTACATATTCTCAACAACAACAGAATTTTTTTTTTAAAGGAAGAGAACAAAAAACAAATAAAAATAGAAGGCACTGAACTGTCTCCCTTTATTAAGGAGTATTTGAGGCATTTACATCTAGTTAAACTATCTCCTGTGTGGCACTGTGGAATAATGCACTGGACCTTAAGGTCAACTGTTCAAATTCACCCGTCACTCCTCGACAGCACTTAGCAGCAATGAAAGCATTATAAAACTTGAAAAAGGAGGCGCTGAAGCTGAAAGTGGGCAGATGCTCTTGAGCAACTCTCTTAGGACCTCTATTCTCTGCTTAAGCGTCTTATAGGTCTGTCCCTCACTGGCTGTAGAGGAATGCTACACTTGAAACATTTCCCTGTGTTTCTATTCCATGGGCAGCCTCAGTGCAAAAGTATTTTTCACATTTTTAAATATTTATTGGAAACAAAGTTTGAGGAATAGAGGAAAGTTTTATTCTAGTGGCTGTCCTGAATTCTCTACTCATATGTACTTTCACTGGACACTGCTTAAATCCAGAAAATAATCAAACTTTACAGAACTTGTGTTACAACAGAATATACATGATTTAAAACAAGAACTTTTGTCTGATACTGTAGTTATGTGAAAATTAGTTTTCTGGTTTTTTTTTTTTTTTTTAATCTTATTCAGGATATGCAAAGAGCCAGTGACTTAGTACTTTGTAAGTATATTGAATCAGGTGCTGTAAAGTTTCTATCAATACCAAAAATATGAATTATGTTTTATGCAAGTATGAGGATGCTTCAAAAAGTTTGTGGAAAAATTACATTATCTTATAATTCAATTTTTCCATGAAGTTTTTGAAGCCCCTTCGTATAATCAGCCTTGTTATTAGATCTGTTGACAAAGAAATTTTTTCTCAAAGGTGATATAAAGTACTTAAGCCTATTTGAGTTACTTGGTGTTTGAGGCAATCACAATTTAGTCTGTTTGTTTATATTTCCACCAATTTTAGTTTCTTGTAAGTACTTACCATATTCTCAATATGCATCAACCTATTTGGCAAAATCTCAATTTACCAGATTTCTTGAAGAATAAATGAAGTTTTCCTATTGAAATCTGTTTGAAATTGTGATCAAATAGCAAATTGAGCAGGTCTATGATCCTGACCCTCCCATATGAACACCAAGAAAAGCAATAAAAAATATGTATTCAGCCCTGTAAGAACTCTGAAAGGTAGGAAAATAATGACAGCAAGGGATCACAAATTCATACCAGGATGAATTTTAAACAGTAGGAAAACCACTTCAATATCCTTGCCTCTTCAGTTCTTGCTGCAACATGTCCTAAGCTGACCCATGACTCTACTATGCATTAAAAAGAGCCCTCTTCAGTTCTTGCTGCAACATGTCCTAAGCTGACCCATGACTCTACTATGCATTAAAAAGAGCCCAGTTCTCTGGTCCAGAACTAAATAGGACAGATGTTGCTAGCAGATGGTGCAGAGTATACACCCTGACCAGCCTGAAGGATTAGATCCTTGGTGTGGTCTACATCAGAGCTCTCACAGAGCATCAGTGGAAAAGGTGTGCAAAGACTGAAGGTTGTGCCAGCTTATGGACAGAGTGATCTTTCCTGACCCATTGAAAAACTTTCTGAAGGACTGAAAGCTTGGTCACAAAGTAGGGAAGGCAGGAAAGGACAAAGACTGCAGGCTGTGCCTGTCTGAGGGAGAACTGATCAGTGAAACTTTTCTTATTGATTTGAGAGATTCCTGGATGACTAAAGCCTTGCTCTGGCAAAGATCAGCACTCTCACAGAGCTGTGAAGTGAGCCGTGAACAATGAGTAAAGACTAAGACTTTCTTACAGATATTAATGCTTTTTAAAGCATCTTCTGTGAGGGAGAAGGGACTCAGAAGGTTTACAGAGAAACTGGAAAAGACAGCCAATTCCAAAGAACAAAATGAAGAAAGAGGAACCGTTCTGTAGTTGCTCAGATCATGAACAGATTAGAAAAATAAAATGTAACAATACTGTTATTGTTGTTAAGTGCCATTGAGTCATTTCCAACTCATATTGACCCTGTGTGGGGTTTCCAAGGAGCAGCTGATGGATTTGAACTGCTGACCTTGTGGTTCGCAGTCCAGTGCTTATCCTACAGCTCAACACAAGGAGTCCACAACAATACTAAACATGCTCAAATAACTAAAGGAAAATATGAACAACGAACTAAAGGGAATCAAAAAGGTGATGTATGAACAAAACAAAAATATAAATAAAGTGATGTTGTTGGTAAGTGTCATCAAGTTGGTTCCAACTCATAGCAATCCTTATAAAGTTCCCAAGGAGCAGCTGGTGAGTTTGAATGGTTGGCCTTGCGGTTATCAGTCCGGTGGCTATCCCACAGCACTGCACCAGATGCTGTCAAAAGAAATGAAACAAATACTGCAGCTCAAAGATCCAATAACTGAACTAAGAAACTCTTTGTAAGGGATTAACAGAAAATTTAAGTGGCCCAAAAAAAGAATCAGTAAACTAAAGGATAAGGCAATAGAAATGGAATCTTAAAAATAACCAAGGAAAGGATCAAGAGTACTGAGCATGTTGTTACTGTGTACTATTGAATCAGTTCTGACTCATGGCAACGTTATTGGACAGAGTAGAAAAGACCCATTTTCTACCCATTTCCAAGGCTATAATCTTTACAGAAACAGACTAAAACATCCTTCACCCATGGAGCACTGGCTGGTAGGTTACAATTAATGAGCTTTTCATTAGCAGTCAAGTGCTTAACTTCTGTGCCACTAGGGCTCCTAATGGAAATACAGGACATCAAGCAAACAAACCTTCACATCATCAGAATCCCAGAAGGAGAATAAAGAGAGAAAGAGACAGAAAAAATGATACAAAAGCTTTCCAAATCTGACAAAGCACACGAACCTACAAATCCAATAAGGACAGTGAACTCTAAGTAAAACCAACTCAAACTCAAAGATCTGGAGACACATTATAACCAAGCTCTCTAACACTAAAAGTAGAGAGAATTCTGAAGGCAGCAAGAGAAAAGTGAATTGATACATACTAGGGAATCAGATGAAGTACTAGTGTCACCTCAGAAACTGTGGAGGCCAAAAGACAGTGAACTAACTAACATATTGCAGGTGCTGGAAAAAAAAAAAAAAAGGTGTCAACCAACAATACTAACCAAGAGTAAGGTAGAAGTGATATTCAAGAAAGAAGATGAAAGTAAGACATACCCAGATTTTAAAAAAAGTCTGAAAGAGTTTATTACCATTAGACCTGCACTACAAGAAATGCTAAAGAAGTCCTCCAGATGAAATAACAACAAATAACATGATCTAATGTTACACTATCTACAAGATAGTTCCAAAGACACAAATATATTGAAAGGATGGAAAAAATCATGACTGCAAATAGAAACTCCAGTAGAGTTTGGTGGCAATTTCACTATCAGACAAAATAGACTTTCAGTCAAAGTCAGTTATATGAGACTAAAAATGACAGTTGTTATGTGCCATCCGACCCTATATAATGTTAAAAGGGCAAATTCATTTAGAATATGTGACAATTTCATAAATATGCTATTCACTTGACATTAGAGTCTGAAAATACAAGGAGGCATCAAAAGTTCATAAAAATAGACTGAAAAACTAATGGAATTTTTTCATGAACTTCTTGAAGCTCCCTCATATATACAGTAATCACAGACAGAATTGAAGGGAGAAACAGAATGTCCTACAATAATAACTTCAAAACAAACTTTTCAACAGTCAACAGAACATCTAGTAAGAGGTTCAATAAAGAAATAGAGGATTTGGTGAATGCTATTAGATTCCTGGTATGGTGCTGTGGGATGCAGCTCTGGACCACAGGTTGGTTTTAACCACAAGTTCTGTGATTCAAACTCACCAGCCACTCCTTGGAAACCCTATATAGTTTTACTATAATTTGGAACCAAGTCCATGGCACCTAACAACAACGGAAAAGTTCAATATCATCTGCCAAAACAAGGGCAGGGACAGACTGGAACAGACCATCAATTGTTCATATGCAAGTACAGGTTGAAGCTAAAGAAAATTAAAACAAGTTCATATGAACCAAAATATGACATTAAATGTATCCCACCTCAATTTAGAGACCATCTCAAGAACAGATTTGATTCATTAGACACTAATCACCAAAGACCATAAGAGTTGCAGGATGACATTAAGAACATCATAAAAGTATGGCAAATGTCTTATTACATGTATTTATACAAACACTAAAGTTTCCTCCAAGACGTTTACTGTTTTACTGTATCAAACATACCTAAATTTCTCCATATGCCATGAAGGTATGATAGAAAACATAAGACCAGCTTCTTTGATACACAAACAATTTTCATTCTGAAGATGGATTAATTGTCTCCTTCAGAGTAGACACACATAAAATAAATAAATGAGTGACTCATTGCCTAGAACTACAGACAGGCATGTATATAGTGTAAAACCTAGAAGGTATGTATTACAGATGCAGAGTATGCAGTAAAAGCATTTTAAACATAGCTAATGTGGACTCACTGGACTGCAAACCACAAGGTTGCCTGTTCAAAGTCACCAACTACTATTTGTAAACCCTGTACAAGGTCGCTATGAGTCAGAACCGACTTGACAGCATTTAACAACAACAGCAACAATGTGAAGTTGGTGATGTGAATTTTCTGCTCTTTCTTAGAAGTTATAAAGAATATTTAACTTCTTGTTTTTCATGGCTTGAGCTTCTGCTGTGTGTGAGCATTGATTGTTCTTCACCACCCAGAAAATGATTCCTAACTTGGAGTATGCTTGCTTTTTTAACAGCTATTGTCCAAGGAGACACCTTAGAAGATATATATAACCAATGCAAGCTTGTTATTGAAGAGCAGTCTGGGCCTTTCATCTGGATTCCCTCAAAGGAAAAGTTATAAATTAGCTACTGCACCTCTGACAACGACTGAAGAGCATTTAGAAGAACAAAATATATATACTATACTACTTGGAGGCTTTTATGTTTTTGTTGCATTTTATGTTTTTGCAGTCAATGTGAATTCTTATGAATGTACAACACAAACTGTGTGAAGCCATGAAGGAAACAGAGGGGCCAAAGGGTGGGACAGAAAAGACATTGCAGTATGCAGGAAGGCTTTGGTTTGCTCAAAGTGCCAGGTGTAGGGATGAACCTCTGACAGGCTTTCTGCCCAAGAGATGGGCAGCCTCCTCACCCCAGCAGATGTCCAGTGCTGATTTAGCTGCTGAGCTCTCTATGTTTTTTGCTTTAAAGAAAAGTTGCCAGCACTTGAACCTCACCAACCTTCCCATTACCCACATCTGTAATTGGTACACTTCGAATTTTATAACTATGCACATCCTTTGATTTCTTAACAAGAAAAAGAAAGAAAGAAGTAAAAAAAAGAAAGGAGTACCTTTGGAGACGGCATACTATCAGGGAAAGATAAGTGTAGTTTCTTTGACTGCCATCTGCAAAGATTAGCATTTCATAAAATTCGCAAGAGTATGGAGGACTGCCCTTACGTAGTAAGAGCAGGAGAATCTGCCTGGGATTAGTTTTGATTGTTGATTGTCTATTTTGCCATTTATAAGCTGAAAGAAGGTACTAAAGATGAGAATAATTTATACAATAAAAAAATATATTAAATGTATAAAAATGAATTTCTATAGGTTAAAAAAAGTTTTGTGAAATATTTTGTAAAGATGAATTACCTGAGACTAAAAGGAATGCACTCTCAGCAGATGATCAAATTTCAGACCTGAACGTTGTACTCTCCCTTTTGTTGCCAATGATTAAGAACACCCAAGTTCCTTCCAAAGTCTGACAAAGACTTCTCCTTCATTCTCCTCCCATGATCTCCCTTCCACACTTAGTGATACACTCTTACGGAGCACATACCTTAATGAGTTGCCCTCACAGATATTTTTGGAAGACCTTTGGTTAAATACATTTTTAAGCTGACGAGTTTTCAGAAACAAACTCATACAAATGATATTAAGGAAAGTTTTTGCTTTTCTCTTGTTAAATAACCTGGGCCTGCTGTGCAAATAGTTGAATAACTTGTTCCTAGTTACTTACGTACATTTCTTAAAGGATCTTTCAGTATTTGGGCCAACCCTGAGCAATTAGCATTATTAGTACTTTTTTTGTTTCACAGAATAACTGAGGGTTTTATAACAGCCAGAGATGGTATAGTCATGGGGAGATCTGTCCCAGGATACACTTTTTCTTCTTTTTTTTTAGAAAGAGAAGAGAAATAGCTGTTTCGGGGGTGAGGGGTGCAGACTTTTGTTTCTGTGTGCAGGTCAAAGAGAGTGAACCGCAAGGAAAAACAAATACTTTGAGCTCAACCAATTGAACTGCCTTTCTTGGAGCTGCACCTGGACCAAGTTAATTTTTGTAAAACAATTATAATAATGATGATTTAAAAAAAGAAACCTTCCAAAGCCTATAAACTGAACCAGAACAGTTCGTTCCACACTTAGAAAGTGATCTCAGCATTGTGTTTGCCCAAGGTGTTTAGAAAGGGACACTTCACTGATGTCAGTCACCACTCAACTCTGGGTTCCGTGTGTGCCCAGACTAAACCCCATCGCCTTATTTCTGGGGTACATCCAGACCTGGCAGGGATCCTGCCACACTGTGCAGCAAACCAGCATGTAGGCTGGGGTGGGAGAGCAAAAAGGAGATTCATTAGTAGCGATGGGGCTTCTTCATAACAAGACCATCAGAGCTCAGCTTGAGTGTCTCTTTCTTCATCTTATACTAAATACTATTGTCTGCCTGGTTACAGTCACCAAAATAAACCCCAAAATGCAAAATCTTGCACCTACCTATAGTTATGAGGTTGTCTTTACCAATGGAAGGACTACCAGTGCATTTTTCCTTGGATGAAAGTTAAGTTTCCAGAAACTTCTTTAGAGCATTCAAAATGTTATAGGTGTTTGTTTCTGCGATTTGCCAGTTTCCGGTCAAGACCTACTTTCATCAAAATTTCTCCCAGAAGTTTTCTGCCACCAGAATGCCATTCCTGATTCTAACTTATTTTTTGGCCACCATGATAACTTCTTTGGTTTCTCAACTGAGCATGCAACCATTTATTTAAAGAACTGTCATTAATGAGTAGATGTTTTCGCGGGTCGTGTGATGTGCTTTCCATTTAATAGTACTGCTGTGGCTGAGTACAATCAAATTGAACTACCAACCCTTGGTTTTGTAGTAATATAATTATTTATTTTCCTAGTGTAGATGCTTCCAGATTAGAATTGGCATTTGCACTGATTTTTTATGTAGATTTATATAAATATATATATACATATATATTTGCTTGAAGAATCACCAAGTAAATTGGTGAGAGGGTCTTTTCCTATAGAATTTACACCTCCATTCGTTATGTTGTCTTGCGCTTCCCAATGTTGAGGTCTCTTCGGCTCCAGTGAATTGGTATATCTTGCAACAAATCTGATGACTTGTATAGAAATGGTCTGAAAGTTACCCAGATTACATCTGGTGCAAATGCACTTGGAGCCTGGGGCCAGACTGGTGCTAACACTGCAAACTTTGTCCGGAGCTCTCTCCAATCTGAAGGCTTGCTGGGGGCGCAATGTCACCTTCACATGCTGGGCCCTTTCTGAAAAGTGCCAGATCGTGTCACTGGTGCTATTTTTCATGCTCTGGTACAATTTGTAGCACCACGGGGGTCTCAGCTTTACCAAAATCAAAATCCCATATGTCGGCTAATGGCAAGGACACTTTTGTTTTGCTTTTGGCTCTCTTCCCACAGGATTTGTTGGCCATTGCTTTGCAGGCCTATTCCCCAGCCCCACGCTTGTGGGTTGGCTAGAACTGCTTAGTGAGCCCATCTTTTAGAAGCCGCACGCAGGTGCCTCTGTGAGCTGTCTTAGATTCCACTGCCAGCCCTTCAGGACAATGAGCCAGTGAAAAGCCTTCCACCTTCCTGGCTCATGCTGCTGTTAATTTTTCTCATTCTTTTCCTCTGCTCTCCTCCTGGTTCTATCTTCCATTCATCTTTTCTATATCCATTCCATCTTTTTCCACCTCTCCTTTAGTCTTTTCCTTACTCTCTCTTGATTTACTTTATCCTACTATTGTTTCTCTTTAGTCACTCCCCCTTTATTCCTTCTCTTTGTTTTCTCTCCTTTAATCTCATTCCTTATTAGTCCTCATTTTCCTTCCTTTCTCTTTACCACACATCTCTGATCATCTCTGCTTCCATATCTTGTGAATTCTTTCTGTCCTATAAGGGCTCTTGGCTGATTCAGACAGCAAGTCCATTAATTGGACTCATGACACAAATACTTTGGGTCGCTGTTTCACCTTCTCAGCCCAGAATGCAAAGCTGAGCGTGAGGTCTGAACTGGAGCCAGCTCCAGCGCCCCTCACTGAGCCAGCCTGCACCACTGGCCGGCAGTGATGTGCATTGCTCTGGGCCCCTTTGGCACCTGGGTGCCTGCCTCTCTGCCTGAATGCAGGTCCAGAATGAGCCCGTTCCCTACATCTCTCCTGTGGCTCTGAGGACACTTCCTTTCAATAAAGGCAGACACTGGCTCCAACAATTATCCTGACAGCAAACTTCTTCCTCTCATTGAAGCCATGCCATCGCCTTGATTTGGAGAGAGACATTTTCCCCTCTTCATAAGCTTTCTTTTTCCCATCTTCATGTGAAGCCCCCTCTGCTTTTCAACTGGTGATTGCTCTGGTGAGATTGAATGGACGTGCTGGTGAAATACCATCTTTTCTCCTATCATGGTCCTGCCTAAATTCCTGCAAAAATATTTAAGCCAAGAACTCAGGCTAGTTATTATGGTTATTATATGAATTTGTCACTCCTAAGGGAAAGCAAACAAAAAGGGTAATTCCCTTAAAGCTTGTGTAGTGCCTCCTGTGACAACTGATTTAACAGGGAGCGCACTAGTGAATTCTGTGGATGTATATTTCACTCATGTGTATGTATGGTATATATGCGTGTATATCATGTATACACAGATTAGGTATGAATGATTGTGGATGGAGACCCACACACACACACTCCAGTCTGTAAATATCCTTCCTCACTGACACCTGTGCTTAGGAAATCATTTCTTGTGCAGCTGTGCAGCTTCTTGTAGCAGCTGAAGACAAGCTAAGACAGGTGGAAATTTTAGGCAAAGATCATCTAAAAGCTAGAGTACAGTATCTCCCTAGCAACTCATAGAACAGACAACCAAATGGCAAGGCTGACTCCCAATGAGATGGCAAACTTTTCTTCTCTCCTTTTTGAATTTGTGTTTCCTAAGTGTGTCTTAACTTCTGAGTGCACCAGGCTGTACCCGTTAGATCCTTTAAATATAACAATTTTGTGCTTCTCTCTGACAGGATGTTTCTCAATAGAGCTGTAGTGTAGGATGGGGGCGGGGGAATTATTCCTTGTCTAGGCTGGAGTTGATCGAGACACTGCACAGCTTACACTCCTGTTAAGTGTAAATATTCAACACTTCCATTCCATTTGTGTAAAAAATAAAGCACACACGATTATAAAATCCAGATGTATATTTCATACTCAGTGTGTCTGTGCATATTTATTGCATTTTCCACTTGTCAGCAGTGACTCCATTGTAAAAATTGCTGGATAGAGTGTTTATAAACATGTCATGGTTTTATTATCAGATATTAATATTAAAACATTTTTACAGTTTATAGCAAATGGGTTTTCTCCCAAAGCATAATTTGTCTTATTTCATAAAGCAAACAAAAACAATTACTCATTTCTATTTTTATCACATTTGCCTGGGTTCAAAGCTAAAGTGCAATTAGGGTAGGTTTGCTCTAAGAAATACTGGCACTGCTAAAAAGAACCAAAAAATGGTTCTCCTGCATATTTTTAAATATTTGGTTGCCATCTTAGCTGCTTTTAATCAG